CATCACATGACATAGAATTCCAGTGAATAACTTCCAGTGAGAAACCTGCTGTCTTCACGTAGAGACAGTACAGAGGACTGACAGAGAGCTGTGTCACACGGTGCAATGACAATCACCTGAAGCTCAATATCAGCAAAACCAATGAGCTTAAATATTAAAACATGCTGCTTCACGCACATCTTCAACCCGGCAGCTCAGAAGATCTACATTAGTGTAGATTAGTGTCACCACTTCTGTTCCTGAGTCATGTCGTTGAATAATGGCCCGAAAAGTGTTTTTCCAGATCATTATGATGTCACAGTGAAGGTGACCTTTGACCTTTTGGATATAAAATGTCATCATTTTATCCTGTTGGACATTTCTGTGAAATTCTATCATAGCGTATGAATTCTTCAGTTATGGTCAAAAACATATTTTGTGACGTCACATTGACCTCTGAATCTAATCACTTCATCACTGAGTCCAAGTGGACATTTGTGCCAAATCTACAGAAATTCCCTCCAAGTGTTCTTGAGATATCACAGTCACAAGATTGGGATGGACGGACAGATGGGACAACAAAAAAACCCTGTTGCCAGCAGGAGGCATAAAAACATTAATGACAAATAAGGTTTTTCAACAGGCATGATGACAAGTGTGGACCCTGGAGCAGCTAGAATGTCACAGAAGTGCAAAATGTTTGATGGTTACCAGTGTTCATACTGAGGCTGCATGATACATTATTAACATGATAATTTTTTCAATTCATCGATTCAGTTCTTCTCTCAAAAAAAAAAAAAAATCCCAACACAATTTCTGAAAGTCCAAGGTGATATTTACAGATGTCTTGTTTTGCCCGACCAACAATTTTAAACCCAAAGATATTTCTTGGACTTTTACAAGAGAGAAAAAATGCAGCAAATCCCTGTTTATTTTTGCTTGTTACTGATTAATTTTCTGTTGATCAACGAATTAGTCAACTAACTGTGTCAGCCCTGGTCTTGTCACCACATCTATGATCACTTATATATTTTTAAATTAAACTGCTTTTACATTCTATGTGGATCAAATGCTTGGTAGATAAAACATCTATCAAAAATATATTTGCACAAACTTATCTTGTGTCTGTGTGAAAACAAACATGAAATGATTGAGTTTTCTTTTTTTAAACTAGACAACTCAGTTTCAGAGTAGACTTAGATTATCTATAAACACATTTAGCATACATTTAGCAAAATATCTTCAGCATAACTTCATGTGTAATGACATTCACTGATAACAGCTACCTACAGTGTTTGTCCACTTTAGGGAAGTCATGTTTCACAAGGGTAGAGTGTGAGAAAAGTCCAACTAACAAGTAATTTACTGAAATTATCCTGAACGCCACCCATATAAATGTAATGTATGAGGCTGAGAGGGTGCTGTATACAACAGGTAAAGCTGATAATGAGATGTAAAAGCGTCCTCTGCTGGACTACAGGGTGAACTACTTGCACTTATGGACTGTAAATTTTGAATGTTAACAGTTCATTACATTTCTAATATTACATTATTACCCCATGGTTGGAATGAGTTTCAAAGTTTGAATTTCTAATGAAAAGTGACAGCCTTTCCACTTGTGTTGTGCAGGTAAATCAGCTGTATTTTTACACATCATTATATTTTTTAATTTAAATGAGTACTACATAATAAGTACTAATGAGGAAGCATTAAATGGAAACAAACAGAAAACAACCTCAGTGGCAGATGCATCTGTTCCCCACGTTGTGCTTCTGAGACTTTTCTCTTCTCACCTAAGTGTTGGTGAAAACAGTCTCTGCAGGTGTTAACTGGCTGGTGTCAACTTTTTATATCATTTTGCACTTGAAGCTCACTCACACTGTGAAAACATGGCACAAATTAAAAACTATTTAGATTCTAATTTATTATAAATGTGGCTGGCTACGTTAAACAATTCCTGTGCAGGATTGTGATTTCTTCATGATCTCAGTTAACACGATGTTTAGGTCTTTTAGTGGTCCTGAGAATTAATCAGCACTGAAAAAAAAACACTTTAACTGATGTCAAGTTTCAGCTTCAGATTTTTGAGGCTTTTCCACATCACCCACTTATTGTTTGGATATAAATAGCTATGAAATAGTGAATGTGACTCATCAGACATAGCTGGATGCTGCAGCTTTATGAGTAACATAAGTAAACATGAGTCAAACTGCAGGCCGCAGGGGGCAGGGGGAGGGGTCACTGACTGATGCAGGAAACACAAATCAGTAGATCAGAATCTTAATTTAGTCCAGTGAAAAGACACAGATTATTCACTTGATCAGCTGCTACATTATATATAGTCTGGGTAAGAACCAGCAGTGACAGCTCAGACATAAAATCTTTAAATTTGTGAAAAGATTATATATTTTAATTTTCAAGTGTCTCATTCAAAAACAAACTTCACATTTGCTTATTATCAGACAGGTTCTGAGGCATGCCAGCAGGGCTTATTAGTTTGTTTGGCTAAAAACTTCCAGGATCCAATACTTCCCTCCCAGCTGTAATGCTTAAGAAGGATTTACAAGAACAAGCTTTGCCACTGCTGAAAATCAACTCACATGGGAACCACACTCCCTGTCACTAATGTTCCTATGCAAAGCAAAACGCCTGGAATCTAACAATGCAGAACAGAAGACAGCTTATCTGCACATGCCAAACCCTCATTTAAAGAAGCATGATATTGAGTGAGACAGTTGTTGACCTTGGACACAGTAGTTTGATTCAATCTTAACTAAAGGTAAACTTACTAGCTTTTTTTCTGCAGCTTTCAACCACATCTCATTGTCTTCCTCAGTGGATTATGGTTGCTTAACAGCTGAGAAACATGAGAACTTGTCTCAATGCGTCCCACTACATCCCATGGCTTTCCTCAGTGGATTAGGTTGCTCAGTTGTCATGGATATTGTTTAGTTGTTGTCATGTGACCTCAGTGTGGACTTTCACATGATAACAGCTGGTCTTGTAAACCGTCATCATTATGACACGTGAGCGACTCCATCCGCTGTGGAAGGCCATAAGATGTGGTGAAAGCTTCAGAAACAAGTTGTAATGAATGCTTTCTGGCCAAACTGCTGTTTCCATGGTCAAGGAAAAAATGTAAAGCTTAATTAATAATTTAAGATTTTACTTATACTGTATTTAAATGAACAAAAGATGCAGTATCAGGCTGATGCAAATCATAATCAAAACCGGTTTACTAGTAGAGGGAGGTCTGTGCTACAGATTACACTTGTCAGATGGCAGCATAGGCATGGTGATGACGCAAAAGGCATTTAATCTCAGTCATAGGTAGCCCCGATACGGGCTGTTCAAGCTCACTTCAGAAGTCTGGGAATTTCATGCATCCACACTTGTCGGCAAACACACAAGAAGGTTAGGGCGTATAGGTTACAGTCACGATCCTGTGGCTATTGTGCTAGATCAATAGGGCAAAAACATTGCGTTAGTATGTTATTTTTAATAACATATCACCACTGGTAATCATCAAGTACATGGATGTAAATTTTAAAACGAACTGGAATACACTGCTGTGTGATGAATGGGATGCATACCGAAAAACGGACTGGTTCCTGAAGATTTATAAAACATCTTCCATGAAACTGTATTTGACAGTCTCTGCGTGGGAACTTTAAACTTTCAGATTTCTGAATGGAGTTTGGGGGTGGTTCTGCTCATGAGGGCATCGCTGGTCAGAGGTAAGGTGTTGGCTGCAGCTGCAACAAACCCACGGTATCTGATGCTGACGGGGTTTTCTACGCGGGATTTTTCAGCGAGCAAACGACACCTGTAATTTAATGTTGCCTCCACCGGACACGCACGTTTTCCGCTCATAAATAAACCAGTCAAGGACATGACATCGATACTGTCGGGCACAACCTGCGTCAATTAACCGCAGGCATATAATAAAAAAACGGAAATACAAGCGATCTGATTTCAAAATAAGAGAGAATTTCGAGGACACTTCTTTAGAAGGATAAAAATGTATAGCCCGGTGGGAAGAAAGACCAGCCCCCCATGTCAAATCCCAACATTGCCCATCCTATGATTTGTCAAAGCTTCGGAGTGTAATTACCACTATATAAAACATAGTCAAGGTGTAAACTTTTCTGTTGTTGTCTCTGCCTCACTTACCCACCACTTACAACAAGACAGCTAATTTGCACTGTTTTACCTCAGGTTATACATATCTTCTATTTATCCATAAGCATAAATACTTACATACATATCCTGCCAATATACTTCACACTCTTACTTTGTAATATTCCTGTGCAGTTTCCTGATGTGCAATACTTTCACCACTACTGTGCAATAACATTCATATATTTCTATTGTAATAATACTACACACCACGTGTGCATGTCAGTTATCCTGTGCAACTATCAATCATGAACATACAGTATCTGCACATATGTAGGCTACATATAGTGTATATACGGTTATATACTTATCTTTTTATGTAATTTGTGTCTTTGTAATATTTGTTATCCTATTTAACACTTAATGACTTTTTCTCCTATTTTTCTCTTGATTTCTGACTCCTGAGCTGCTGTAACGTGAATTTCCTTGCTGTGGGAGTGGCAAGAGTTCGATTAGGATTTTATTTTGAAAATATGTAACGGAAGTTGTGTGTTTTTGTGGTACCTTGCAAGATTTCGCTCAGTAGTATTTGTAAGGGCTTAATTCTGACTGGACAGCAATGCATCTGTTTGCACTGTACGACATAAATATACGGACATTAAAAAATAATAAATAAATTCCATCGGAATAACACACTTTGTCATGAAGTAACTAAGTTAGGCGAAGGGGCTCAGAGGGATGTGAGCATAGCTTCACATAAGTGACTCCCATCTGAATAACGTTAACGTTACAGTATATTGCTAGCTTTAGCAAGCCGTTAGCTGCCAAATTCACCCGTCATTTCATCTTCTCACAGTCACATTTGTGACACACAGGTTTAGAGGATACACTGTCAGACTCACCTTTCGCCTCACAGTCCGCACAGTACTTGTTGTCTTCTTCCCTCAGCAGTTTAGACAGGATGGCCTGATGCTGCTCATTCAGTTTCTGGGCTTTTTCTCTCTCCGACCGCGTCGTCATGTCGCCAAAGTTTGGAGGTTAGTCCTGTTTGTGTAGAGCCGATAAAAACCGCGGAGTCCTCAGTTTGTATTAAAAAGGGTGGGACATCCCCGGGAAGCCGCACTGTACCGCCTTTAGACAGCTAGCTTGCAACCTGCTAACAAGGTAATATGGACCCAAGGCAGCAGCATCCCTGCTGCCTTCATGACTGTAGGAATTTTCACTGCAGCGCATGAAGCACGAACAGAAGCAGCTTTACTGGCCAAGTGTGTGTGAATACACAAGGGACTTGACTTTGGTTTCCACTAGCTGTCAGTGTACTTATATAAAACGTACCATATACACAAATAGATAACCAGATAAACATAGCATATAGCTATAATGTACAAGCTTGTAAGTGAAAACACTTTAAACTGAATGGTAGGTATTGAATAGGTACATAGATTATTAATACTGATACATCAACATGTGAGGTATTTAAATGAACCATGCTGTCAAGGTGAAACCACTTAATTTTATTATACATTAGATACATTAATCTTGAAAAAAAAAGCCTCATATTTTACAAGCTGATTGTATGTAAAATAAGACTTTTAAAATTTATCTTCAAAGGAAGAAGAAAGTAGCAGAAAAAATACCTGGTAATAATACATAATAGGGGAGACTACTTCTTCAGTGGGAACTTTACCTCCAGTTACACCGTGATTTCATGCTCCTCAGTAATTGTGCAAGTGTTTATGTTTCCTTTTTCTAATATTTGAACAGCTATGATTATTAGGGACACTATTAGTCGCAATAGTAGAAGTAAGTGTTATCAGGATTCTGTCATCACTCATAGTCGAAACTTCTATCTGGGCTGACTGGGGACATTTACTGATCCAAAAACATGGTGTTTTCTTCTCACCATGACTCTGATCAAGAATCTAGTTTTCACCTGGTGCTTTTATCCCCAATGTTACTCCCTATAAAGTGTCTCTAAAACAGCTTTACATCAATGTGTGTTACATCAGTCCAGTATCCATCAGAGAGGATCCAGCAGAGTCATTCTTGACTGTAGCAGATGGAGTGGGGAGAGTTGGTTTCCACTCTCCAGGCGGTAATCGATCAATGAGGTGTTTAGAGACACACTCAACCCTCCACCTCCATCTCCTGTCCCTGCTGGGCTAGCGTTCAATTAGTCAAGTAATAATTCAAGGGTTCTCAGTAGAGAATAGAATAGAATGAGGTATGCCCGTACAGACCAAAGATTCGCAACCAATAATGCATCTGAATGTTCTCTGCCTCCCATTTTCCTTGCAAATGCTGTAAGATATAATTTTATCAATTAGAAAAATAAAAAAAATTCTCCTAAATGTTCAGTAGAATTTTTTTTTCAGCTTGCCAACCTTTCATGAATAATTTCAATGATTTACAAACCCTACCTCCCAGCACGGCATGTCCCTAGGCTTACAGGGTTGGTACTTGAAGAATGGCATAAATCAGGGCGTCAGCATTATTCAGCACGCATGCCAACCTTGTAGTAACTTAACTGATGGCACTAACAATAAGCAGTAAGTGTGCAGGAGAGTTTTTGTAAAATTTTAAAGTGCCCTGTCATCCGCAGGCCAAATTTTCTCTTTCACAGCTGTTGTCATCACAGTCACATACTTTATATAAAGACTCAGCCTTCACAGAATAACAACGCTGCTGGAGCCGGCTTAATAGACGATGGCAGGCTCGCTAGCTAAGAAAGCCAAAGTAGAGGTTTGGGCACTCTAGCCCTCATGGACAGAAGAATGGGGTTTTGTGTTTCAGAGAGACCATGCTGTGTATACTTGAAAATGTTGTTTGCCAGACATCAAGTGTTAAACGCCATTTTGACCATACACAGGAAATGTTTAAGGACTACCCATCAAACATGCTGTGTCCAGGTGTGGAAAGTAAGCAAACACCCTTTAAGTCTTTGCCACTGCTAAAAATCATGCTACTGAAGAAAGCAATCGCATTGCGAAACATGGAAATTAATTTCCTTATGGCAAACATGTTCAGTAGGCTTTCCTCTGTAGCTTAGAGGTTTTGTTTAATGGCTCACGGAACAAGGAGACCAACAAATCAAGAATAAAAGACATTCTCATGTCAGCCAGAAGTGCTAAAGAAACAGCAGAATTAGTTCAGCAGAGTTCAGCAGACAGCTGGTTTGAAAGAAGCCAAGGTATTCAGCTTTGCACTTGACGAGAGTGTGGATGAGAATGACATTTGGCAGTCATGGCAAGACGCTGTGATTTGACTGTAAGTGGGGATCTCTGCTGGTTAAAACCAATACCTCAAACAGCACAAGATGAGGACATGAGCCAAATTTTTAATGGTGCATTTTAAGTAGCAAGGGATTGACATTATATTGATATGGCACACTGATTAACAAGAAAATACAACAGCAAGTCATATCAAAAGGGTTGCCACTGGCATAAATGATTGGTGAACAAAAAAGTAGATCAAGTGGGGCGCCCAGTTGGGATGAATGACTACAGACCAGTGGCTCTAACATCGCGTGTTACGAAGACCCCCCTACAGTTTAATTACCAGGAATATATTTGAGTGGAAGACGCAGTCCTTTACATGCTCTACTGGGCTCACTCTAGCCTGGATGAGTCAGGTGGTTATGTGAGGATAATGTTCTTCAATTTTTCGAGCACATTCAACTACATCCAACCCCCCATACTCAGAGACAAACCTGAGTAGATTGGGATGGATCCCTCCCTTACTGCCTGGATTTCAGACTACCTGACGGGAAGACCACAGTTCGTCTGGCTGGAGAGCTGTGTACCTGAGACAGTTGTGAGCAGTACTGGGGCTCCACAGGGGACTATTCTGTCTTTATTCCTGTTCACACTGTTAACAACGGACTTTAAATACCAGTCTGAGTTCTGCCATGTTCAGAAATACCCTAAGGACACAGCTACTGTGGCGTGTACGAGGGATGGATAGAAAGTAGAGTACAGGGAGGCGGTGAGGGCCTTTAGTGACTGGAGTGTGTGTAGTGTGGCGCCTTCTTTTAAACACCTCAAAGACAAAGAAGATGGTTGTGGACCTGCCTCTGGCCAGGTCCAACATCCAAGGGTAGGACGATGAGATGTTATAAACATACAAATTCCGTGGACAATAAGCTGGACTAGTCAGCAAATATAGACGCCCTCAGCCAGAAGGGGCAGAGCATGCTCTTTATTCTGCAGAAGCTAAGGTCATTTAAAGTGAGAAGTGACATACTGCATATGTTCTACCAATCGGTGTTGGCAAGTGCACTCTTGTACGCCGAAGTCTGCTGTGGAGGTAGCATGACGGACAAGAACAACAAACGACTGGATAACATATATCCAGCTCAGTCAGTGGTACATGATGTCCCCCATCTCTCACACCCCACTTTTCACCTTACTGGACTCCAGCCTATTAATTAAGTCTGGAACCTCCCGTCTACAAGGGGCTTGAGATGCGCACACGTGGAGGACTTCGCTCAGATTCTGTAGTTACTCTCTTAGGAATCTGATCCTGTTGGATTCGGTGGTGGGATTCTCTTGCAACCGCATGCTTTTGCTGACATCGACCCCAGCAGGATTCGAGCCCTGGGCCTTCCACATGAAAGACAAGTGCTCTAATCACTAGACTAGGGAGGCCCCTTAAAAGCTAGTTCCCATACCGGGAGTCGAACCAAGGCCGCCTGGGTGAAAACCAGGAATCCTAACCGCTAGACCATATGGGAAAGTTGCATTGATATAGGCTATAAATTTTACTGTACTTGTTTGTTATGCCTTTCATTCTGGTTTGTTCGTTCATATTTGGGATTTCAATGTTAAGATCAGGAGGCAATACTACAAGGTAGGGTAAGGTATAAATATGTGCCATTTCTATCTAGTCAATCAATGATTTAATAATGTCCACACAGCCGAGGTCAGTGGAATTTGCTTTCAATTCAGCACGGTGGGTAAGCTCAAAACAGCAGGTCATTTACATCAAACTGTTACATCAAACATTTAACTGTTCTTTAATCAACACTCATTCACACTCTAATCATCTTCAGTGTTTGGTTGTAGCCGTGGTGTATTTGACAGCAGGTTTAGCGGTGAAGGATATCAATGCAGGACCTTTCACAGCTGTACAGAACAAACATACACGCCCATTCGGGACTTTGTCCTGCACTTCCAGTTCAAAACTCCAATGTAAAAATGACACATTTCAAAACTATTTAAACTGAAGTCGAAGCTGTAAAGTCAGGTATTTTTTTAGGATAAATAAACAGTTGTCAACAAGGCTGTCTGTGTCAGAGTTTCAGGTGTCAGACTGAGCTCAAGTGCATCTCATAATGAGGCAGTGGCAGTGACCTCTGTGACCCTCTGCAGCAACATTCAGACATATTGTGGTTATATATGTGTGCACAAAGATTCTCCAAATCTGCTTTTACTTAACAGGTGTCACTGCATTTCTTTCAAGCGCATACTAGAACTAAAAGAGAGAGGAAACCCTGACACTTGGTGGAAAGATTATGTCATTGCAGTCATTATCTACGAGTGAGTTACCAGCTGTGTGGAAATGTGTAGTTATTACTCCTCTCCATAAGGGTAGTGACACGCATAATCTCATAAATACAGTCTAGGCTTGATCCCAATAACCTAAATAATAAAAACACCTCATCTCAAGTTCTGGTTTTAGATCTAACTTTTGAACTAATGTAGCCATATTTGTTGATCTCACTAAGGCTTTTTACCAAGCAGATCACTCTCTTTTAGATAAGCACCATAAGATAAGCTGCTGGCTTTTTTCAGACTGCATTTTTGTAGTTTGATTCATATTCCATAACTGAAAGCAACGTGTTGTTGTACATGGGTGCACATCAGATTTGCCAACTCAGCAAAAAGTCTTAAATATTAAAAGAAATATCTTAAGGAGTTTTTACTGATATAATGAAATTGACAATTCTATTTAATTTCTAACAGCTGCTGTTTGATTGCAGATGTCTGTTATTTGTCTACCAAGATGGCAGTATGAATATTATTAAAATCAGCATGATGACCAGTCATAAAGAAAGAAGCCGCCTTTTGCTCCTTCATATGTTCTTTTTTGTTTGTGTATCCTGTGTGCTTGAGACACTCTTTGTTACACAAACTTTAGTGAGGTTTGAAAGATGTATGGGATGACAAAGGAATAAGATATTTTAATGATTTGTG